TTCAAATCTTACTCACACTTTTGAAAAATATTTTTTTATTTTAGGATAGGAAAATTTGCCATGTGGCAGAAAGAGAAGTCACTACACTATTAGACACCAAATCATGTGCTCACATATATAATAGTATAGATATATCACACAAGAAGTTTACATGTCAGTAGTAAGTTACCTGCTCTGTTTGATCCTCTACACATTCTGAGACAAACTTCCCAGTCTGCATTTGAACACCAAACAATTTTATGAGCTTGAACAGATAAAATACAAAAAAGGAGACACCGTATACAGTAATTCATATTTTGGACTGATGGAAAAATAATCAAACAAATAACAATCAAATACGTAATAGCAATAAGAACAACCTCTGGAATGAGACCAAGCACACCAGATACAAAAAGAAGGTTATCAGTTTTGATGGCTTGAGAATACGGTCCCAATGCAGCTGGAGCCTTGTCAGTTCTAACAGCCTCCTTTAAACCTGGAATGAATGCAAAGCACATATGATATATCCTCGTAGCAAATGATTGAGAAAATTCAGAAGCCAAAGAGCCAAATTCTATGGGTAAGTTAAAGTTGAACCCCTGATCAAACCCACTTAATGTGGGTCTTACATTCATTGACTACACAAGAAAATATTCTGACTTTTGCACAACCCATCTCTCACTGCAATCAGCTCATTTGTGGGCTTTGCAATTCATTGATATTGGAAAATGGCAGATCAAAATTCATAATTCTGTTAGGTACCATTTGGTTAGCTCTTTGGCAAGTCTTTTTCTTGCTTTTCTGAGCATATATCAATGCAAAATTACACCTTCAAAAGCAGTAATAGTACTTTCTAAGGCGTAGGATTGTAAACTAACAGAATGTCCAAGACTGACTTGAAAATTATGAGGTTCAAAATTTGTTCAAATTTGACTTGTATACATTTTGTACAGATCTCAAACGAGTTTTAATCAAGCCAATAACTAGTGAAAGTCAAATAGCTTCATTTTTTTCAGTGCATACAAAATTAATTAAGCTTTAATGTGTGTTAATCTTGACTTTTTTACATAACGAGCAGATCCAAATGAACTTTTAATCAGCCAATCTTCACCGTCACCGTCACCGTCGCCATTGCCATCACCACCGCCACTTTCGTCCTCCCACCACCACCACCTATAAGGCACGGACATGGACATGGATACGGATACGGACACGGACAAGGATACAGACACGGTGATTTCAAAAAAATGTGAATCTGGACACGGCGGGGACATGATAAATTTTTTTTTTTAATAAATATTTTTATTTTAACTTAGGAAGGATTCATTGGCTATTTATTTTCTTTTTTAAATTTCAAGAGAAGTGAGTGTAATTTATCCTCTCTTAGTCTATTTGTTCATTTCTTTTTGTTAGTTTAAAAAACATATACATTTGACCATTTATGAGTGCTGCTGTTAGCACCTCATGAATTATTTTTGACCTCTCAATTTTTTAGCTTTTTTTGTTTTAATAATAATCTCAAATAAAATTATTAAAAATGACATCATTAATTTTGGGACACCCCATCTCACAATTAAACTCACTATATCACGAATTAGGATTTATGAGAGCACTCACCTCCATCACCACCCATCCATCTTCCCCAAATCTTACCTTCAAACTTTACCCACCCTGAAAATCTTGAAAACCTTTTAGCGGCAATATTTCGGCGATAACTGTAGCAACCATTTGATTACCTACACTTCTCCCGCAATGATTATGAGTGAAATTTTTTTCGGCAACCACAACTCATGAGACGAGAGGAGTACAATAATAAAAGTTCAGAGCTTTGATGATGTTCTTAGCTTAGAGAAAATTGGCTTTGTAAGGGTAAGTTTCTTTAAAAAAAAAGGGCAAAAATAATAAAATATGTTTGTTATTTTTTTTAGATTGAACTCTCGAACATATGACTGAAATTCGGGAACAGATGCCCAAACATTGTTTATTTGTTTAGGAACCGGTAACCGAATATTTGTTATTTGTTCGGGAACCGGTAACTGAACATTAATCACCGAAGAAAAGGATAAGACGACAGAGAAAGAGAGAGAGAGCAGAGACAGTAATCACACTTGACTTTTCTTCTTCTTTGTGAGTTTTGTTGGGTTTTTGGAAGAGTGGTTTTCTTGGGATGTGGGGGGTGTGCATTCAATTGAATGAGTACAATGTTTTCACAAAGATAATTTTGGTATTATTTAGGGGGAGAAATTTTTTTTAAAGATTTTAAAATTTATAAGTGGGGTTCCAAAGAAATAGGGGGTCCAAAATAATAGATTGGGTGCTAATAGCACCACTCCCATTTATTTATGGATAAATTACACTCCCATCATTTTAAAAAAAATACATTTAGTCCCACACTTCTAATTTAATTACACTAATCTATTTTGATATTTTAATTTACATAACAATTAGGTCATTTTCAATCAGTAATATGTTTAATCATATGAATAAAAAAAAGAGTTAATTACCAAAAAGTCCTGTTTACATATTTGGTGGTAGCTTAGGTCCTGTCAAAAAGTGTTTCAACCAATAAGTCTCATTTATAGGTAAAAAGACGTTTTACCCTTTAATCCCAAAACTGAGAATGTTCTCAATTTTCAAAACTGAGAATGATTTCAGTATATAATTATCAAAACTACGAAATTTTTGTTTGGCTTCTGAGAAAAGTATGGGATTGAAAAGAAAGATAATGCTGCGAACCTAACACATTAAATTGCTGAATTAAGTTTTTTTTTATGATTAAAATTGAAAATATTATAAACTGAGAATATTCTCAATTTCAAAAAAAAGACTCGGCATCTCTGAAAATTCAGCGTTTTACGAGAACACAAACTATATCTATACATATATATATATATACACTTGTATGTAGGGCCGGCCCTGCCATAAGGCAGGTTAGGCTTGTGCCTTAGGCACCAAATTTTAGCCCAAAAATAAGGCCCCCAAATTTGAAAAATTGTTATAGGCCCAATCTTTCTTCTTTTTTTTTTTTGGTTTTTAAGATCAATTTAAAGGGCCCTAAATGTTTATTGGGTCCATGCATAATTTAGCCCATATTTATTTATAAATATGTTTGGCCCATATTTTTTAAAATGAAAATATATAAATAAAAACAAAAAAAAAACAAAAACTGAAAAGTGTTTGGGCCCAACCGAAAGTTTATCTGGTGTGGGACTGAAAACAACTTTGGAGGCTTTAAAGAGCCCCAAAACTGAAAATGTATTTAAAGGGCCCCAAAATGTGTTTGGGCCCAACCCAAACCATACATACAAATACAAATTACAATATACAATACATACATGTCCAATGCACTAGTGTGGTGAGTGAGTGCTTCTGTTTTCAATCTCTTTGACGAAACGAAGTGAAGTGATGAAATGAAATGAAATACTTGAATTGAAGGCAAGTAGACGAAGGAAGAGCATAGCATAGCATAGACTCACTCTCCCTCTTTTACTATCTCTCACACACACACTCTCTCATATAAGTCCTCTTTCTCAGTATCAGATTTTATTAAATAAAGTTGTCATAATTTTTTTTTTATATTCTTTCTCTATCAATTAGTGGAATAATAAATTTGCCCTAATTTTTTTATTACCTTCTTTATCCATTAGATTTTAGTGGAATAAATAATTTAGCCCTAATTTTTTTTCCTAGGTATTTATCAGTTTTGATTGAATAATTTGTTTGCCCTAATTTTGTTTCATTAAATTATTTTTTTATAATTTATTTGCTATTGATTATGGATTTCAGTGGATTGTGATTTGCGGATTGAAGTGTTTGTGATTTGTGGATTGATTTGAAGTGTTTGTCATTTGTGGATTGAAGTGTTTGTGATTATAGCCATGTTTCCTAGGAAGTATAGTTCTGGAAATGAAAAGAGAAAGAAGAGGATGAAAGTAGAACAATTAATTCAATCTCAATCTGGAGCACTTGATAAATATTTTGGTACCAAGAAACAAGTAGATATTTTGGGTTCAAATGACAATGATGATGAAGATTTGGTAATTAAAGAGCCTACTCATTGTGTGAGTAATAATGAGAATGATGATTTGGTGATTGAACAACCTAGTGAACATATGAATGAGAATGAAGATTTGGGGAATGTAGAATCTAGTGAAAGTGGAGATGTCAATGTTGAATGTGGACCTCTAAACATTTATGACCCTAGTAATTGGGACAAGATTGATCAAAATTTAAGGGATTTACTAGTTGAAAAAGGTCCTATAAGAGGTAATGGTGTGAATTTTCCCCTAGATGACAAAGATAGGCATTTTTCTTCTACATTTCACATGTGACAGTTACAAAATGGAGAGAAGCAGGATAGGAAGTGGCTAGTATATTCAGATGCTTCAGACAAAGTGTTTTGCTTTTGTTGCAAGTTGTTTAAGCAAGATGGGAACAATATTCATTTGGCTACTGATGGATTGAAAGATTGGAAGAATATGGGCAACAGGCTTAGAAGTCATGAAACTAGTAATGAGCACTTTATTTGCATGAGCAAATGGATTGAATTGGAAAGTAGATTGAAGAAGAATGAAACAATTGATAGAAGTGTTCAAGAACGAATCAACAAAGAGAGGGAACACTGGAGACAAGTGTTACTAAGGATAATTGCTATTGTGATCACTCTTGGTAAAAATAATTTAGCTTTTCGTGGAGACAATGAGAAGATTTATCAAGAAAGAAATGGATTCTTTTTAAGCTTAATTGAAATGCTTGCTAAATTTGATCCAGTAATGCAAGAGCACATTCAACGTATTCAAAGGAGTGGAATTCATTACCATTATCTTGGCCACAAAATCCAAAATGAATTGATACAGATGTTAGCGAGTAAGATCAAGAGTACGATTGTGGCAAGAATCAAAGAAGCGAAATATTTTTCAATTATTCTTGATTGCACTCCAAATGTTAGTCATGAAGAACAAATGTCTCTTGTGATAAGATGTGTAGATGTTTCAACTAGTCTAATAAAGGTAGAAGAATTCTTTTTAGAATTTTTGAAAGTGGATGATACATCGGGGTTGGGACTTTTTAATGTACTTAGAGAGGCATTGCACACACTCCAGCTTGATATTGGTGATATAAGAGGGCAAGGATATGATAATGGCTCTAATATGAAAGGGAGACACAAAGGTGTACAAAAAAGAGTACTTGAAATAAATCCAAGAGCATTCTACACGCCATGTGGGTGTCATAGTCTTAATCTTGCCCTTTGTGATATGGCTACCTCTTGTTCCAAAGCTATCTATTTCTTTAGAGTGGTACAACGTATATATGTGTTGTTTTCATCTTCTACAAAGAGGTGAAAAATTTTCAAAGACAATGTGGAAGGTCTCACACTTAAGCCATTATCACAAACTCGTTGGGAAAGTCGCATTGAAAGTGTTAAAGCTATACGGTACCAAGCTCCACAAATTAGAGATGCTTTAATTCAGTTGGAAAAAGAAGCTGATGATCCCAATACAAAGTGTGAAGCTGAATCCTTAGTTACATTTGAAATTGAGAACTTTGAGTTTTTGCTTGGCATGATTATTTGGCGCAATCTGTTGTTTGCTGTTAATTCTGTTAGCAAGACATTTCAAGCTGAAGACATGCATATTGATGTTGCTATACATCAATTAAAAGGACTCATTACATTTCTTGAAAAGTATAGAGAAACTGGACTTTTGGAGGCCATGATTGAAGCTAAAGAAGTTGCAATTGAAATGGAGATTAAGCCTACATTTCGTGAAAGGCGTGTCATTCGTAGAAAGAAACATTTTGATGAGAATGTTAGTGAAGAGGTTATGCAATCAGCTGAAGAATCCTTTAGAGTTAATTATTTCATATATATAATAGATCAAGCTCTTTCTTCACTTAAGAGTAGATTTGAACAATTTCAAATATATGATGAAACTTTTGGGTTTTTGTTTGATTTGAAGAAGTTAAATTCTACCAATGATGAGTGCTTGAAGACTTATTGTGCTAATATTGAAGACTTTTTGAAACATGATGGGCTTATGGATGTTGATGGGAGAGATTTATTTTCTGAGTTGAAAGTCTTCAAAGAAATTTTGCCAAAAGAAATCAATAGGCCAATTGAGGTGATGAATTATTTGAAATTGATGGATGGTTGTTTTCCAAATGCCTGGATTGCGTATAGATATTATTGACTATTCCAGTTACCGTTGCCTCTGGAGAAAGAAGTTTTTCAAAGTTAAAATTGATCAAATCCTACCTTCGATCAACAATGTCACAAGAAAGATTGAATGGATTAGCTATATTGTCTATTGAAAAGGATTTGGTAGTTAAATTAGATTATACAAACTTAATTAGTGATTTTGCAGCTAAAAATGCAAGAAGAGTAGTATTTAAGTGATCGTTGGGTTAATTGTAAGCTGGATATTGCTAAACTATAAAGCAACAAAACCAGTTTTTAATATTTTTAAGTCATTGTACTGATTTCTTCCTATCTTATTATATATGAAAGTAAATTTTAGTTTATAATTTTAATGATTATATGTTCAAGTATACTTAAATAAAAAATTTGTGAATACTTATCATTTTATGCATAAATTTTTTATTAAAAAAAAGTATATTAGAGGGGCCCCATTTTCATAGTGCGCCTTAGGCCCCACAAATCTCAGGGCCGCCCCTGCTTGTATGGATCGCAGGCGAGCGGCGAGTCTGGTGTACACTGGGCAGTGGAGTGGAAGCAGCACGGGGTCATCTTCTCCGGGCACCGGCCTCTCCACCATCAAGAGGAATCAGAACTTCGTTGCCAAGGCCGCCGCCCAGCGTCTCGGTCAGGTAATGGCTTCTCAGACCGCCGCTGACGACGGATATGGAAGGCTCTGAACGACGGACGGTTTCGAATGGCCGTTGCTCGAGCCCTGTCTCCGATCGTGTTCTAGCTTCTTGCTGCTCGAGTAATGCATCGTGCAAGTTCGCGAAGGAGAGCTTGAAAATTGTGGATTTGGAGGTATTCGAGAAGTCACATAATTAGAATTCAAGTTGATTCATGAATCATTATTATTCTCTGGAATGAATCTTCGGTTTCCGTGCCTTAATTGCTTTGGATTTTTTTTTTTGAATTTCAATTTGTTTTTGCACGAGGATCTGAAATCACGGAAGAAGACCATCTGATTCCCAAATTCAGGTTTGGAAGGGTAAATTGGTCTATTAAAAATTAATGGGACTTGAAGGAGTAAATAATTTTATCTAGGACCTAATGGATTGTAAGTTCACAAAATAGGACTTGTATGTAAATGCCCCATATAACTTTAAGAATAACCATCCATTTTTTGTAATACAAATTTGATTCAAACTTATAACTACTTATATCCGACTATCTTAATATTTTACACAAATAGTCTACTCAAAGTGTCCTAAAAAGTAAAAGCGTCGGATCACCGAAGTCGTTCCCAAAATGAACCTACCAAATCGAAACGCTTCTCAAATTGAGATGACCAATATAAAAGAACCCAACCTTTATAACTTATTCAATTAATTATACTTTTGGTTCTCAAAGTATAAATCTTGTGTTATTTTTGTTCTCAATGTTTAAATTGTGGTAATTTAGTCTATACTATATATAAAAAAATATTTTAACTCAGTCCATCCCTCAAATCTTACTCTGTTAATAAACTTGAAATACTTTGGCCAAATTACACTCACCTTCTTTAAAGTTTGAAAAAATATAATTAGCTCCACAATTCTTAACATAATTACATTGGCCTTTCTTGAGGTTTTAAGTCACATAATAGTGAGACCATTTTCATTAATAATTTATTAGTTGTTTGACGTCGTTATATCTTTTTTTATAAAATATATTTTTATTTTTGTGTATTCAATTTTTTTCTATTATCTACATTAGTTTCGCTCACTTTAGTTTTATTAGAAGTGAGATTAGTGTAATTATGTTAAAAGTATGAAACTAATTATATATTTTTTTAATCTAAAGAAATGTGAGTGTAATTTATCCAAATATTTTTATGCACTTTTCAAATATTACTCAATTAATCGACGTAGTTAGAATACTTTTTATACATTACAAGACTAAATTGAAATATATTTTTTATATATCGGGGATTAAATTAATATAATTTAAATATTAGAGATTAAATTAAAATATTTTATATATTAAGGACTAAATTGACATAAAATTTATATTTTAAAAGTTAAAAGTATAATTAATCCTAACTTATCTAAAATGGCTCTCCAAATTTAATTTGTTATTAAAATAAATAAAGAATATAATATAAATTTTTGTAGTTAAATATAGGTTTTGTTTGAGATGTAAATTGGTTTTTTGACAGTTTAACTTTTTGACTATTTTAGCCTAAAATAGTCTCATTTGAAATAGACTTTTTAGTTTTTTTTTTTACTTTTATGAAAGAAAAAAAGAAGGAAAATGAATGACTAAATGTCTCACATGGGTATACGATTCTCACACCCATGTGAGACATTTGATCATTCATTTGATATCCCTCACATTATCCAAAAATGAAATGATTAGGGTGTGTTTGGTAACGTTTACGTTTTTAGTTTATATTTACAAAAATTTTATAAATTGGTTTTTGTTTATTTTTAGAAAAACATAAACTACAAACGCGTTTGGTAATTAACAAAATATTTAAAAAAAAATTAAAATATAAAAAAGAATGAGAAATAGCAAGTGGCAGTGGAAGACGGTGGTGGAAAGTGGTGACGGTGGGTGGTGGGTAGCTGGTGGTAGTGGATGGCGGCTGGATAGGTGGGTGACGGTGGCGGGTGGTGGGTAGCAGCGAGTGGGTGGTGGTAGTGGTTGTGGCGGGTGGCAGGTGGGTGGCAGATGGCGGGTGGTAGTAGCGGGTGGTAGGCTGGTGGTGGTGGTGGCAGGTGGGGGGAGGGGGAGGTGAGTGGGTGGTGGGTGGATAGTGGCTGGGGGTGGGTGGTGGTGTGCTTTTAAAGCAAAACTGTACAAGGTGTGGGTGGTGGTGGCGGGTGGTGGGTGGTGGTGGCAGAAGACGATGGTGGAAAATGGTGGCGGGTGATGGCTAGTGTTGGGCGGTAAAAAAAAAAAAAATTGAAAACTCAAAACGGAAACACATTTTTTGTGTTTTCATTTTTTTGCCAAATTTATAAACTGAGACCACTGATTTATAAATCAAAAATTTTACCAAACAAGTTTTTATTTGAGTTTTTAAAATTTTTGTAAATATAAACAGAAAACAGAAAACGTAAGTGTTACCAAACGACACCTTATAGATTGATGTGATAACTTTTAGTTTGAAAACTAAAAAAAAAATAAAAAATTATTATTTTGGCCTTGTTTGGCAAAAGCTAAAATTTAATTTTCTAGGCTAAAATTCACAAAAAGATAAAATAGATTAAAATAGTTAATAAAACAATATATCACATAAAATTCATAATCATTTCATTTTTTTCTTACAAATATAACATTCAACTATAAAAAAATTCAATCATTTTCTCAAATTGTTTGGTTTGTTTTTCATAAATAATTTTGGAAAAAATTCTCTACAAACAAATTTTCAAAAGTAATCAAACCAAACAAATTTTTTCAAAAAAAATCTCAAAATTTTATTTGGTTACCTACTTTCTAAAATCAATCTTTCTCTCATACACATCAAATCAATCATTTTTTTTAAAACTCTCTCTCCAAAACAATTTTCCAAAATCATTTCTGAAAAAAGACAAACCAAACAAGTTTTTCGTACTTTTTATCTAAAAAATTACTTTACAAACACAAACCAAACACACCCAAAAATTATAATCTATTAAAATAATCAAAATCTAAAATAATCTACTAAGGCCAAGTTTGGGGACTTCAAAAAAAGTCAAAAAGTCAAAAAGTTACTCAAAAAGTTAAAAAGTTAACACTATTCACCAAAAGTCAACAATTACGGCTGCACAACTCCCAATCAAATTTTTCTCTACCAAATCAATTTTTACAATTTTTTATTACACATTTTTCAATAAAAAGTCAAAAAGTTAACCCCAACATCCATATTTTCAACCTCAATTTTTTAGTCCAAAAAGACAAAAAGTGCACTTTTTTAGTCTTCCCAAACTTGGCCTAAAATAATAAACTTTTCAAACCAGGCCATTATATTTTTGAATAATGCTTGGGACCCCCTTTTGGAGTCACCCCCTCACCTCCCTTTGCCACGTGACGGGTGGTGATTGGAGGAGTAGGAAAAAAAAGAAAAATAAAAATAAAATGTAATCAATGAGAGAGAGAGGGAGTCAAAGGGGTGGAAGGAAAAGGGGGATAAAGTATTGTTGTATATTTTTATAATTGTTTTAATCCCAACCTAATTCAAACCAACTGCCAAACGGCAACATAGACAGCACGTGAATTTAAAATAGTGTGGGTCCTACCGTGAGAAGACGTCATTTTTTGAATAATAACGCTAGAGATATCCGTCTTGTTTGGTATGTGTTGGTATAGTAATTTTTGAGATAAAAAAATACAAAAATTTGTTTATTTTTTAAATATTCTTTTCAAAATAATTTTGGTTTTTTTTGTAGAGTAGTTTTTGAGATAAAAAATATAAAAACTTATTTGGTTTGTCTTTTTCAAATATTCTCACCAAAATAACTTTGGTTTTTTTTGTAGAGTAGTTTTTGAGATAAAAAAGTATAAAAATTTGTTTGGTTTGCCTTTTTGTAGAGTAATTTTTGAGAAAAAAAATACAAAAACTTATTTGGTTTGCTTTTTTTACAAACATGTTTCAAAAGTAATCCTGAAAATTGGATAACCAAACACATTTCTGAGAGTTTTTTTGAGAAAATCTGTTTGGTTTGATTACTCTTAAAAAAGTATTTGTAGAATATATTTTCAAATTTTTTTTCCTCAAGATCAAACCAAATAAGGCCATAAAATTTTCTACCAAATAAATAATCAAATGTATCACATAAGTGTGGAGTCCATTTTTTTGTGAGCTCCACACCCATGTGAGACATTTGATCATTCATTCAGTAGAAAATTTGGGACTTATAGCATTTTTCTTTTTGAAAAATTTGCTTTAGCTTGTGTTTAGGAATGTTTTGGAAAGAAAAGGAAAAAAAAAAAATAGCTTTTAGTTTTTTACTCATTTTGCGTTACATTACTTCTCACATTTTTTACCTATAAAAAGACAAAATAGACTAAAGAAAGTCAAAAAATTAATTTTTTACCAACTTTCTAAAACACCATTTAATTAGGGGTTGTTTGGGGTGTCCTAAATAAGTGTATTTTTTGTCTTTTTTGACTAAAAAGTTGAGGGAAAAAATATGGATGTTTAAGTTAACTTTTTGACTTTTTATGAAAAAATATGTATTAAAAAATTATATAAATAAGTGTATAGGGGAAGTTATAGATGGAATAGCCCGTACGGTCGGAAGTGTAAGGGGCAGCGCAATAGAGGGTATAGTGTAGGAGATTGATTCTCTCATTTTTGGGCATAAATTGGACGGTGTTGTTCGGCCCATGGGGGCCCACCACGGGTCCCGTTTTACTAATCGGAACCGTTCAATGTGTAGAACTCGTCGAATACTATATGCTTGTAAAAAATCACGTTAATTGAATATCAATAGCTATCTAATCGTGTTAGTTTTTCTTCTCAACTGTTAATTATAACACCATACATTTTTTATACAAATCTGATTTGATCATGTAATTACCGATTTCTGATTAACGTGATTTTTTACAGGTATATATTTCTGGACGAGTTTTACATATTGAACGGTTCGGATTATCAACACAGGACTCGTGGTGGGCCCCCACGGGCCCAACATTTCCGTCAAACTTAGTGATTTTATATATGTAATTCTTTTTTTTTTCCCTCTCACGGTAGTACAGGGTCAATTCAGCT